CGGGTGGGCAGCTCCAGGCAGGTGGCCATGCGTGGTCCCCTCCCAGCCACCGCAGGCAAGGAGAGGCTGCAGCCCCTTGCAAAAGTTTTAAATAGGCTTTGCCCCTCCCTCCCGCCTGCTGACTGGCTGCGGACAAGGCAAATACGGGCAGAAGGGCTATAATAAGCAAGAGCAGGCAGGGATTTTGCCTTTATCTTACCCTTTGGAGTATTTCAAAACTGATTGCGGGCTCCTCACGTGAATTTGTTGAGTGAGCTCATCATGCCAGTTGCACATATTGCATTGACTGAAGTTGCAGCTTTTTGCATACCTCATAGTCTCTGTTTTTCTGCAAGAAAAGTGGTATTTGAGGAGTTTGCACACACCCCAAGAACCATTTCTCATCTCACCTGTCTGCTCCCGAACATATCACCAGAGGAAGCCACAAAGCTGTTTGTCTCAGGAGGAAGCACAGTTCTGGCCGCAGGTGGGATCATTGTTTAAAAAATTCCCAGCGCTGCTTCATCCCCACAGCACTGGGCACCCGTATTATACATATCCCCTCCGCTGCCCTCATTGCAGCCTATGGCTCGTGCTCACGAGCTGCGACACACAGGGACAACACGATCCTTTTAAGGAAGGGCCCTCCTGACTTCAGAGAGGAGCTAAGAAATAAATAAGCTTTGTCTTTTCAAGATCCATCATGTTAGCTCTGTGCGACTCTTCAAAATCAGAACTACTTAATCTGCAAGACCGATGATCACTAACGACACACTACGGCACACTTTTGTTTCCTGGAGCAGCCACTGCGTCGGTTTCGATACCCACTTTTCAGAAGCCAAACAGCTTCAGGTGTCTTGTCCCTTGACGCTGTGTTACTGCTACTTTATGGCCTTTTCTGTTTGCATGCTGTTGACCTACATTAGATTTTTTACCATTCACAACTGAAAAGCTTCTGCATAAACTGAAAAAACAGTTTTACAACCCTCAGTAGGAACAGAAGCCTATTCTGGAAGAATCCAGAACCTCTTGTTTTTATGCAGAGTGGGTTTGACCCCAGCCTGGAGGCTCCCGTGTCCTGCCAGAAGGAGCTGGCGTGCTACCTGGTTTCAGAGCCCTGCTGAAAATTCTGCAAGAACTCATTTTAAAGATATGAGTGGTAAGCATTTATTGTTTATCCAGCCATTAACGAACTTTTCCTGTCCTGTCATTTCTTTGCCCGTTAGAGGCAAAACCAGCCCCGGGGTAGGACCACGTTTCAACAGGCAGTGTCTCAAATGCCCAGTGACCTGGGGCAGGTCACTTCGTTCAGGCACTTTTTACCGCGTGCAGACCCCGCATGCAGAATACGCCCAACCTGGAAGCATTGTTTTGAAGTTGACGCAGATAAAAGTCGACAAAGCCTGAGAGGCTGAGCATCAGCATGCTCAGCACTCCCAGGGCAGACACCCAAAGAGCCCCCACAGGCCAGCAGGCATCAATCAGGTGGCCAAGGGTCCACCCTGCTGCTTCCTACAACAGGTCCCCAGCGGTACCAAACTTTTGTCCTCCAGCACCAGATTTTCTTTAGGATTTCATAACTTTTCACGTCAGGTAGTTTTCCTCTTGTATCCTCAGGTTGTCGCTCGCGCTCGTCTCAACCAGCAGCAGCCCCCTCCGCCTGCAGCCTGACCTTTCCCGCATGGCTCTGCGCCGCAGACCTTCTCGCTCCTCCGTCCTAGAGCCTGGCCTTTCCCCCAGCAGTCGGAGGCAGAGCTGGCCTGGATCATGGGCACCTCAGCCCCCCGTCCAAGGATTTTAACTGAGATGCGCATATCACTGCAGCTCTGGGACAAGCCAAAGGAGAACCCTTTTAATTTTATTTCTGACGTCAAAAAGATCAATCCTCTTCTGCCTGAGTTGTGCAATGAAAGCAAGGTTTAACCAGCGGTTGTACTGTTCAGTGCGCTATGTGGAGATTTGATGCACTTATGTGGTTTTCTCCTTATCTGTGAGAAAAACGGGTTGCGTAGAGGGAAGATATATGATGACCACGGCTCTCTGCATCATCCACCTGATGCCTTGGTCACAGAGACTGCTGAGGTACCTGTACAGCTGGTCTGCAACCAAGGACGGGAAGAAATTCACTTCATCTCATTGCAGAAACTAATGTCGATTAACAACAGGCTGGCTTTCCAGTACAGCTGTCGTGTCCCTTGTCCTTCAGTGTTGTGTAGCCGCCTCCCTAATGAGAGGGACTCTCCCGGTTCCTCGACCTGCGCTCTGCCCATCACAAAGGCAGACATGGAGAGGGTTATCCCACTGGCTGCTCCGGCAATCCCCCGCACAGCAAAGCTCATTTTCATACTGAATCAAACTGCATTCAACCGGCCGCAGAAATTTCAGTCGTTAGTCTATTTTAGGAAAACAATCATTAGCTCAGGGTATTTCTTAAGCCTCTGTGAAGGTCTTCATTCACTTTGCCTTTATTTTTAAGTCCTTGTTCAGTTTTTCACAGCACTTACGACTTTTTTCTTTAATTCAGGTAGATTTAGCTCAGAAGCATTTCTCTTCCAGTTTTTTTACTTCATATATCTCAGAAATTTTTGTTATCTGTGAAGCTCTCTAAAGTGTTGGTGACTCCTGGGCACATCTCCACAGGCAGGTGCAAACAGCGCTGAGCCTGCCAACTTGAAGCTGGAAAAATACAAGCCAGCCACATGGGAAACAGCACAGAGTCAGAGCTAAATAGTTCCCTTCTAGAACCGAATTGCTTCGTAAAATACCTTCGAAAGGTTGTTTAAGGTTTCTCTTTGCACTGTGCACTCGTGCACAGTGCTGCCCTCTGCTCACAGCTTCAAGCCCAAGCTGTGCTGCCAGAAGAAATACCAGCATGGATGTTACTGGCAAAGCTGGCCCCGGCTTGACATCACCAAAATTTCCCTGGGAGAAGTATGGCCTCAGTCAGGGCAGGACCAGAAACTTGGCTTTAAGTACAGGAGACCAGTAAGACGAAGCTGCCCGAAAGGCAGTGCTGTAGGAAACACTGGGGGCCAGCGAAGGGCCAGCGCTGGCTTCCAGGAGGGCAAAAACTGAAGCTGTCCCCAGGGGGCTGCCGCAGGCACTGTTTGAACCCCAGGCTGCCGAGTCAAGACCGAGACGTGTCCGTGAGGACAAAAAGGCAGCGACTGCCGGTGAGAGAATCTGCTTAGCAAAGGGTAAACCTGTTGGAAGAAGATGCCTTTGATGCCTTAAAACTACTGCCGTTCCCTGCAGGAATATCGTCACAGGATTCACTATTGGAATCTATCAGACACAACAGATTATCGTGATCCACAAAAGTATCAGTAAAGCCATTATTATTAAAATTACCTGCAATGCTAAGTCCTAATATGATTTACACATTTCATTGTAGTTTAGAGTAACTACAGTCTTATCAACCCATGTTTTTCAATCCGTATTAGAATAGGTCCTTTCTTGAAGGTCTTTTTTTAAACGTAGATCTCACGTGCAGCGTTTTTGTGTAAATACCAATGATAACAAGTTGATAAGTGACTCTTGTAAATTAAAATTATACTGGAAGTAAAGTATCGAAAAATTATTTCTCTTTTACTTTCATGTATAGTTCTGGGATTTACAACATATTGAAATTTTAGAGATTATAATAAAGATTATGTGTGTGATATGTTTATTATATATATTATATATATTTACTTTTTTCTGTTTTTCTATGTGTTTCTTGAAGGTGGGGAATATCTGAATCTGAGGAGGAGTCTGTCAGAGGTGAAGCAGAGAATGTGTATTTTGCTACTGCTCCTTCCCTTAAGACACGGTAATCCCAAAACAAACAAAAAACGGAAAGGAAGAGTTACCCAGACCTACAATAATCTCTCCGCACACGTACTCTTGGCATTATCTGGCCTTTCGAAGCCCTCGCTACCCGTGCTAGGCTTCCTTCGCACAGTGGCTCAAACACAGGACAAATAATCCCGACCGCTTTGCTGTGGCAGAAACTTTTTTTCTGGCAGAAATCCAGGTGGTGCTTTTCTGTAGCCAGCCCTGGGGCGAGGCGGACGGACTCCACGTTGCAGCTGGTCTCCGTGTTATAACGGTATATCGATACACGAGCACTGAATCCCATGCACTTAGCGGAAAGTCGTCCCTGGGCAGTTTATCCGGCGTACGACTGATCTTTGCCGTGGACGCAGAGGCAGCCAAGGTGACTTTTTGCAAAAGCAGCTCAGGTCGGGCAGAGTTTTTAAATCTATATGCAAAGCAGTTTGCACACCTCCCATTCCTTCCGTGGCCCATCTGGATCTGGAAGCAAAACAAGCTTTCACGTGACAGCAAACCTGACAATAAACCCATTGTGTCTCCAGCACGAGGGCGGAGTGCCCAGGGAAGGTTTAGCCTCATTTCCTCTGCTGTTGGAGCTAAACGTTAGCAGTAGCTCTAGCCTGAATACTTAATCTGAGCATACAACCTCTGTGCATGTGGCCTCTAGCCTCCCACCTGCATTTATAGTGCTTAGGAAAAACAGACCGAGAATAATCCACAAGACGCGTTTTCTAGGGAATTTATCGCATGCTATTTTATTCAAAAAACATTGACTACTTTTCATTGAGATACTGACTGAAAAGATTCTTAACATGTCTCAGCAATTGCTTCCTTGATGGGTGATATACCTGGAAGGTTATGACACATTTGAGGCATTTTTCATAAGCACAGCTTGTTTTTAAATTTCACTTTATATCAAATTAGAAATGTCTTGTCAGCCTCTTAACCCATTAACTTCTCAATTTCCGGAAGTGCGCCATCTTTCAGCTACTTCACATACGCAAAGTGCTGGATAAAGCAGACAGGAACTTGGTTTTCTTACTCACCCATTGCAAGGTGCTTTAGAAAGACTGTAACGCATTCCCAAAGACGAATGGGCTGAAAATTCCTCATCCTGGTGACAAACGATACACCCGGGGGG